ACTTTGAGGACCAAATTCACTTTTAGGCCTTTGAACACCAATAATTTATAGTGCTCATAAAATTGAATTAGAGGTCTGTAACTGACTTGATGCCGCAGCTACAGAAATTAATGGTACTTTGCCGTATTTTATATCTGATGTTTGGCTACTTAGCACCATAAATTGTGTGGTCAAAACTCAAAAGTACCTTTTACATAGTCTAATGTTTTTGCTAAGTTTTAGATTTCATTATAAGACAATTTTGGCTTATTAATTAATCTTTTAATGGTAAATCTGTCTAATTTTAGCCGTGCAATGATTTATATTATGATCATTTTTGTATTGACAAAACAAAATAGGATAAAATGTTAATTTTCCATATTTTCATCCCAAATTAAACCCAAATAGTAAAGAGAGATTCACTTTGTGACATGGTGGCCATGATTTGAGTCACTCATGCTGTCATGCATAGTTTGAATTTGGTGGTTAATAGCCTGCCTTGTTTTATTGTTTAGTCTCATGTTGTGAATGAGTAAAGTTCAAACTCTACCTAAAAGTTCAAATAAAAAATGGACATAAACTCTGAAATTTGTAATATTTAGCTCGTGGGCTCCTTATACTTTGTTCGTTTTATTGTTATTGTAACATGCAATGTAGCTAATAATGTGTAATGAAAAGAAAGTAAACCATAAATAAGAAATACATGGACTGCAATCACATGCAAATTACAATATATAAATAAATAACTAAAACTTTTGTAAAAGTGAAACGTTGCAAACATTGCACTATTAATGATAAAAGTGCAGAGCAATTAGGAGAAGTTACCTCTCAAATTAAATAATGCTGCCCTATACATCCTTTAGCCTAGGTCTAAACTTTCCTTATAATTATAAAGATGAGGTAGTTATTAATAAGACATGCTTGATTTGAACACAGATTGAGTTGCAATAGCAACACTGATAGTTTATTTTGTTATAACATTGTTGATGGAGTAAAGCTCGAGTTACAACACGAGGGTGATAAACAGTATTTTAATTAATCTTGAAATGATTTCAATTTCAAAATTAGTGGATTCAAGTTATATAGAGACAATCTATGTAAGAGTTTGGTTTGAGTGTCTGACTCAACATTTGGTTGACAAGCGCTATTGATTAATTGATTTTAACAGTACAATAAATTTTCAAAATGTGGAATGTATAAAAGATTTTTTCCTTTTTAATCAAACAAGTTTAGACAAATTCTCCATTTCAAACAAAGTTAAACATATCCACCCTGAAGATTAAAGTGAAGTAATTAATGAGATGTTGATCACTTTATTACTCTATAATTTTAAGCATCTTTAAACTTATTTGACAAAGTCATCACTCACTTATTAGACCAACAAATCAAGCAAAAGTGGAGTTACATTAAAAGTATCATTATAAGTATGAAAATGCCTAAAGAGGCATTCATTTTGCCACAAATAGATGGAGTTCTAACTTTCAAGTTTTACCAAGAATATAAAAAAGGCTAAACTTAATGCGTACTTGAATACTTGGCAAGTATTCAAGTACGCATTAAGTTTACCACATGGCAAGTATTCAAGTAAGCATTAAGTTTAGTTTTTTTTTGTATTCTTGGTAAAACTTGAAAGTTAGAACTCAATGATAACTTGAATTCATCAATAATTTACACACTATGTCAGTCAAGAATAATTAGCCAAGAACTTTTATCATTAATTCATTAAAATTAGTTTTTTATAAACAAAAAAATATATAAAATATAGTTGACAAATTTTTTTTATCAAAATAAAGGATTACGAAAAATTTGTTAGGTATAAAATAATGTAAATATTATCAAACTTTTTTTTTTTGAGGAAACATATTATCAAACTTATGTTAAGAATGTTTTTTTTATACCTATATAAATATTTGTGTTAAAATATGTCAAATCTTTTTTTATTTTAAGTAATTATATTATATAAGTTTATGGAATTATTTTTGTATAAGATCTGTTTTTTGAGGGGATTGTATAAGAGCTGTTTCAATTCTATAATAGAATTTTATTATTCAGCAAAAAAAAAAAAAATAATAATAAAAAACACTAAGGACACACCAGGAAATGACACGTATCATTGCTGGTGTATCTTTTAGTATATAGGTATTGATAAGAGGTAGATTAGGATTGAACAATAAAAAGTATGTGATCCTGCATATTGTATTGATTATATTGAGTGGATGAAAATTTTGGCATATTTGATGCATGAGGGTGATTTGTTAGTTCATATGGTTGATCCATAATTTTGTAATTTTAAATGTTTGAGTACCAACCATTCTTGGTAAGGGTTGGGCACACTTGCACCCTACAAAAGACCAAAGTCCAAGTCCGTAATAAATCTATAATACGACGGCACAATGCAAACTTAGAATTGATTGATTATTGAAAGCAAGACATTATATAGACTAATGAACAAGCATTCTTTCTCTACGACTATACTTGGGGAAAATACAAGTTAATCTGTCAGATAAACGAATTTTTGTTAATCTGATGGTATTTTTGTAAACATATTGAAAAAGCAAGGTCATTTATTCATTACTTTTGATGAGCTGTCCAATTACTGTTTGCTTTTACTGTTTGGTGAGGAAATTACACATGTACCCCTCAACTAGTACATGAAAAGACGCATATACCCCTTCACTGGTACTTGAAAAGACAATTATACCCCCAGATAAACAAATTTTGTTTATCAATTTTGTTTATCTGGGGAATTAACTGGGTATTGCTCCTATACTTGGTGGGATTGTCTAGCTTAGTCCTAACTACATTCGAATCCGACCCGGGTTGCACATTTTTTACTTATGGTGGGTGAGTCTCCCAACAAGAGTTTCTACATTTAGGGCATGTTCTCTTATGTTGAAATTCAATTCAGTTCAGTTCAGTTCAGCTCAATTCAGTTCAGTTCAGCTCCTAATTTCCTTCTCTTATAAAATATTCATTTCATTTCAGTTCAGCTCAATTCAGTCCAGTTCAGCTGAGTTCAGCCAATGAGAACAGACCCTTAGTAAGACTCTCCAAACCTCCTTTAAGGGACATCAAACTGCTTACCATTTGAGCCAACTCTGATTGATATATTCAATTATTCATATTCCCAATGATATTGCCCATTTGCCATAGTAGTCAAACTAAAAAACCTTAAGCCTTTAATGTATCCCAAATATTCAAGGAAAATATTACTTTAAAATGAAATTGTAACTGCAGCATTGCAGTATTTCACTGACCAGTATAAATTCCTTGTTAAGTATAAATCCTTGTAATGGAATATTCAGTCAAAGTTCTTTTAATACTATGTGGTATTCCCTTCATAACCCGTTTTGTTTAGTTCATTATATTTTTACTTATTTGGTCTGATCTAATTTAATTGTCAAATTTAACTAAATTTTAATCTTTTATTAATGTACGATAATTCATATGCAGGATAAAAAATATTTCAAGTGAAATACAGTATTTGTGTCAAATTTAACTATGTTAATTATGAGTAATATGTATCTGATCTTTCAAAAAAAAAAAAAAAAATTGTGCATGAAGCAAAGGAAATACTCGGTGTTCGACTTGTCAAACGTTGGATTAGCAGCCACGTAATAGAGAATACATTTAATTCTCCACATTTACAGGAACAACAAGCCTACTTTATAACAAACGGCTGCCATTCTTTGGACCTTCCAACCTTCGACTGTTATGTTTTCTGTGGGCCCTACTAACCTTTAATAATTTTTATTTTATTCTTTCAGGGAAAAAAAAAATATATTTTACTGTTTTTTTTTATAATTTTTGAAGTGCCTTTAATAAATATTTATCTGTTGTTAAGGCGCAGAGGGGGGGAAGACATGCGCATGGTGCATGTGTTAAAAGCTTTACTTTAAGATGAAAATAAAATCAGCCCAATTTAACTTAAATTATTATGATAAATACACCTAAGTATAAGTTTAAATACGTGTACTTTATACGTCATATATTGTGCAGTTTATAATAAGGAGTACTTTTTTAAAAGAGAAATACAAAGTAGATATTCTTTTACAACACTCTGTCCTAATAAGGAGTACTTTTTGAAAAGAGAAATACAAAGTAGATATTCTTTTACAGCACTCTGTATTACGTAGTAAATAATTGCTTGCTCTCTTGCAAAATACGGAGTATTTTAAAATTTTAACAATTTATGAAATTTACATTGATAATCCAACAACATTTTTTTAATAGGAGTAATAAATAAATTTTCAATTAATATAGAGAAAAAAAAAATGATCAAATTTATTGTAACAAATCAAATAGATGACCTAGGATAATGATTTTTATTTATTTATTTATTTTTTTTGAATGAAGCTAAGGATAATGTTTTCTTTAATTTGCTTTTGGTTTGGAAACTAGATGAAGCCCGTGCGATGCACGGTTTGTTTGAATTTTTTATATATATATTTATGTGCTAAAATTTGTTATATATTTAGATAATTTTCTAAATATCAAATGATAATATTTTATATTTAATTAATTAAAATGGGAAATCTCATTCGCCAATTTTGCTTACGTGTCATTTAAATTATTTAATTCTAAAAAAAAAAATATTCTCGTATTTAATTGGCTATCACTAAAATTTATAATCCTACGTGACGCGTTGAAAAAATTAAATCCTACGTAACTCTCTACAAATTCAGGAAAAAACTCCCCTATCTAATTTTTCACTCATTTAAACGTATTACTTCGTAATACCCATATTAATCATAATGTATACTTTTATAATTCTTATTAACCTTTACTCCGTTGTACATGAATTTGTTTGAACTAATTTGAATTTGTTAACTTTTTATAATTAAAAAAAAAATTGTCCTATAACAAATCAAATTATTATGAACAATATAAGACCTTATTAGAATGATAGAACTTATATCAATCATAAAATAAACTTAATCATAAAATAAACTTGCGTAATTTTTATTTCTAGTAAACATTTATAATATGTTTGAACTAATTTAAATTCCCTTCAAATTAATTTGTCCTTTAATAACCAATCAAAATACTAAGAACAATATTAATTTTACACCATTTTATTCAAAAGTTAATATCTTTAAGGGAAATATTTCAAAATGGCAACAATTCACAAATGATAATAGTAAATAAAAAAATTAAAAAAAAAAATTAAAAAATCACACAAATATCCCTCTTTCACATAAAATTCTCACATCACATAGTTGAAGAAGAAACAGCTTCACCTTCTCTTGTCAGTTGTCACTATAAACACCCCAAATGCCTTCCATGCTCTTTCTCTCTCCTCTTCAATCCCCTTACTCTCCATGACACTCCAACCCCTTCTCAATTTCAATTTTAGGGTTTTCTCTCTCGTTTCTCTTCACTCTTTTGCTGTTTCAATTGGGTTTTTGATTAATTTTTCCGGGTTTTTGTTTAATTTTTAAGGGGTGATTTTGATCTGGGTTTTTCTTATTTGGGTCTGTGGAGAAATAGGGGAGAGAATTTTTGAAAAATGGAGGAGGGGTTTTGTAATTGGGGAGTGATCCGATCTCTTCTTGCTATTGTTCAATGGTGGGCTTTCAATGTCACTGTTATCATCATGAACAAATGGATCTTTCAGGTCTTTTTTTACATTTTCCTTTTATTATTATTAATTGGGTGTTTATTAATTATCCATCTTTGATCTTATTTTAATAATTTTGATGGGTTGTCTGAGCTTCTTCCTGTATATTTATATTTAAATGTGTACAACTTGAGGTTTCCTTTGTTCTGATTCTGTATTGTTGGTTTGTGATGACATCGTTAATGTGTATTTTGAGGTTTGCGTGTCAATCGTTGTAATTGATGTTTAGTTGATTATTTGTGTATTTTATTATCGTTTTTCTATTGTTATATCGTGTGAAAAAATGATTTCTTCCAGTTGCTAATTTATTCTGAATAATATGGTTGCTATTTGTTTTAGTATTTGTATGTGATTAGAATCGCTTTCAGTTTCGTGTGATGTTACATTTGCTAAGTGAGGAGGTTATCTTTGGGTATGATCCAATTGATGTTACGACTGATTGATGCTTATTCTAGTTTGTCAATGGTTTTTTTTTTTTTTAAAAAAAAAAAAAAAAAAAAAAAAATTAGAACAGGGGAAAAAAATAGGAAAGGGAAGTTCTTGCTTTATCACATTTGGCATCCCTCCAAGGGAGATGGATCGACGTGTTTCGTGTTAGTTTTTACACAATTGATTTTCATTATAATGTTGGAACTCATGTATAATTAAAGTGGTTAGAATGCCAATTGTATTACCATGGACGTCTCAATTCTGTTGTGCATCTATTTTCCGTGAATCGTGATATGTTATGGCTTATGATGCATAGTATTACTGTAAAAGACGGTATTATTGGCTTCTTAGAGAAATTTGCTATTGTGGAATTACAAGTATGTTGATCTAGTCAGATGGTAATGTTTGTGTCTTCACCTAATTTTTGAATGTGCTATATATGCCTATATGGTGTGATGAAAGATTGAAAGCAGTTAAATTGTTAAATAAATTCCTTTGAAATGAACGCAGGGATTAAGAGCAGCTAGAGAAACTCGTAGTTGGTAATTCAGTGTTGTCCTAGGAAGAACGTCTGAATTGATCTGAAGTAGAGATAACAATTTCCTCTCTTCAGTTTAGATCAGATCCATTGATGTCAAATGTGCCATTGCATGCATTACTTATAACTATGTGTTGTTTTAAATTACTCATGTGCGAGTTATTTGTGCAAATGTTAACATGTTTTCTTTTTTGGGTATTGGTTAAACAGAAACTGGACTTCAAGTTTCCTCTTACAGTATCTTGTGTCCACTTCATATGCTCTTCCATCGGAGCTTATGTGGCAATTAAGATTATGAAGGTAAAACCTTTAATAACAGTTGACCCTGAAGATCGCTGGAAAAGGATATTTCCCATGTCATTTGTCTTCTGCGTCAACATAGTCTTGGGAAATGTGAGTCTTCGATATATACCAGTCTCCTTTATGCAAACTATCAAATCCTTCACTCCAGCAACAACTGGTCAGTTATAGAATCAAACTTATCGATTTTTTGTCTCCAAATTGGTTTAAGATGGCTTTCTGCAATAATTTTGTCTAAACATAAATTGTAACAGTTATTTTGCAGTGGCTCATATGGAGAAAATACTTTGAGTGGAAAATCTGGGCATCTTTGGTCCCAATTGTTGGTGGGATTCTTTTAACTTCTATGACGGAACTTAGTTTCAACATGTTTGGATTTTTGGCTGCTTTGTTTGGTTGCTTGGCGACCTCAACCAAAACTATTCTTGCAGAGTCTCTTTTGCATGGCTACAAGTTTGATAGGTACTTGTTTATCACTATCTGTTTCCTTTTCCTGCTCTGCCAATGTGTTATGTATTTTGCATAAAGACCTTTGTGCCTCATACTTGATCTATCTAATAGGCTGACCTTTATTGTTCTTCATGTTTTGTGTTGTTAATTGAAAGGATAAAGGGGACTTGTGAAATACTGAAATTTATGGTTTCTCATATGCCTTCCAAATTATTTTATTCATCAAAGAAGATCATTTCATGTGCATTACATGTTGACCTATAACCTCTATTATCATGCTTGTGATACTTTAGAATGGCGGCTTCTGTTAGATCTGTAAACGTCTGTTGGCTGACTCAGCAACTTTGCTTCATTCTTCAGACACCTACTATACGTATGAAGCACATCCCACTCCCTGTTTTTCTTCCATTGTTGAGATCATTACAGTTTACAGATCATCCCTGATTTTTACGGTGATTAACTTTCTGTGTTATCGACCATCTGTTACATACTCTTATATATTCTGAAAAGGGAGTTAGAGATAAGTAGAAGGAAAAGATAACGATACGAGAAAATGATTTCATTTGGATCTGGATTGATTAGTAGGAAATGTGACCTTCAGTAACATTGCGCACTAATGTACCTTGGGAATTCATGATTAGTAAAACCTTTCATTGTTCATGCATTCTTGCCTTGTCCTAGCTCTGATTGGTGAAGTAGGGAGGTAGTGGAATGGGGAATTTCTGCTTTCCTCCTCATCACCCGTTGTTTTCTGGATCTAGCGGTGTACTGAAAATGAAAATCATTTCTTCATATGAGCCTTTGGTTGTATTCAGAATCTTGTCTATCTATGGGCAAATTGCAAATATGCTTGTTTAGCTGTCTGCTACAATCTTTACCTTGCCTTGCCTGTGTTTGCCTTCATTCACCTTCTTCTCTTTGGTCTTTAGTAATCTGGTTCTTCTCTGCAACTGATTTTTTCTGTGTTGATATTTTTCCAGCATAAATACTGTCTACTACATGGCCCCTTTTGCGACAATTATTTTAGCATTACCAGCTTTGGTACTTGAAGGTCCTGGAGTGATTGTATGGCTTAACACACACCCTTCAGTCTTCTCTTCTATGAGCATCGTCTTTGGCTCTGGAGTATTGGCTTTCTGTCTCAATTTCTCCATCTTTTATGTTATTCATTCTACTACAGCAGTCACGTTCAACGTTGCTGGAAATCTCAAGGTGAGCTGAAATGATTCTGGTTATTGTTTTTGGCATCCCTTGATCTAAAGTTGTTTTGTTGAATCTTTCTACCCTTCATTATTTGCGAGTTCAAAGAACTTAAACCTCCCTCTGAAGTCTGAACCAAAGTATCAATCGATTTAGCTTATTAATTCAATCCAAAATACAAGTCATTGTACATTACAATACAAATGCAACATTAAGTATATCAATACAATGCCCAGAACAATTGTATCAATACAATCATTAGATTAACAATACATCTTTCATAGAACTTTACTTGATAATATGCTTATAGTTTATTACAACAACCTAGCAAAGGATGTAATCCAAAAATTAAACGAGATAATATTTGCTAAATATTCTGATTATGTGGATTGTTTCTTTTTCTTTTCTTTTCTTTTTTTAAATAAAACACCTAATTTGCTTGTATTGCTTTTCTTAGGTTGCTGTTGCCGTTCTCATTTCATGGCTGATATTCAAAAACCCAATATCAGGTTTGAATGCACTTGGGTGTGCTGTAACCCTGGCTGGGTGTACTTTCTATGGCTATGTGAGGCACTTGATATCACGACAACCGCCCGGCACACCAAGAACACCCAGGACTCCACGGAGTCGGACAGAAATGATCCCCCTTGTGAATGAGAAGTTAGATGACAAGGTCTGAATCAAAAGTAGCATATTGCAGGTAAATTCAAGGTGCTTGGAATAGGTTTATAGGAAGACAACATAGGTGATAACGATGATATTTATTTCTTTGTTGTGTAGACATGATTAGATTCTTATAATTCAATAGATGCTTCTTTTCTAACCCTTCATACATATATATAGAGGAAAAAAAGGTAGTAGTTCTAGAAGTATTGATTGTTTAGGAAGTTCTTCAATTTCTGAATTTACCATCGCCAGTATGTGCTTTATACAGTATGTTTTGTTAGAGCTGTTGCCCTCTTGCTCTGAAAAATATACTTCCATATTCTCCGTAGAATTTAGCTATGCCTAAAGACGGGAGTACACATTAATGTTGAGCTAGCAAATCACAAAGATAGGTATGTTTTATAGAAACAGCTGATTAGATGAAAAGGAAATGGATATAGTTTATGCTTATGGACTGAAGAATATTGCACAGTATGTTTTGTGTCTTATAAACAAGAGAGTTATAATCGTATTGGTTGTTAAAATAGAATAAGTAGGCAGTGTTTACTTAAACTACATATTATTTTGATTTCACTTCCTTTTTAGCTGAATAATGTGCTAACACATTGGCATAATAATGAAAATGGAGTGGATTCAGTGGATGTAAATAATCTAACAGAGATAGTAGAGTGAGAATAGACGTTCTGGTTGATAATGATATTGAGTATATACACGCGAAAGATAGTAAGTAGATATACGAGAAAGAGGGAGTAATGCATTACGCATATACGGAATAGCATATTTCAGTAAAGGTTTGGTTTACCTGAATGGCTGAACCAACCATTTTAGACATTAACACGGGGCTTCAATGGTAATACGAAGTTGTGGATTTACTCATATAAGCTCTTAAGATACGTACCAGGAACTTTCGGGCCTTATATCTCTTAGGAGCCATTTCGCGCAGCCCATGCCACTGACCTGTGAACAGAATGGTATGGTACTCCTTAGTCCTTACTCTTAGGAGTAATCTAGTTGGTTTCTAACTTTCTATTCATGTCCAAGCTTATTAAGGCAAAACCGAGTCGAAACTTGAGCTTTTGGTCAAGTTCAAAAACTTGTTCTAACTCGGCTCATTTTAGTTTACTCATTGCACTATTGCAGTACTATGAAGCTTATATTTAAGCAAACACCTGATATTTCAATAGCAGTTAACTCGTATTACTAGCTGCTTAAATAGTTCTATATTGACGTTAATTTACCTGCACATGTATGTTTTATGTTGAGGAAATGGTATTCAAACCCGAAGCAATTTGCTATCATGTATGTTTAGCTAATCCATGCCTTAATTGACTTCAATGGTTGACTATCATTATATTAGACGGGGGGATGAGATCTTCTCGATATATGAGGATCTTATGTTCTTTGTCTATTACGAAGGATTTTGTTATCAAATAATGTGTCGTATTTACATTCACCTAGTTGATAAACGAAGATAATACATGTAATGCTAAGGGTTACAAATAAGGAGCTAAAAAACTCAACTTTAAACCGTGAAATTTGAAGCGCGAATTATACATACAGGTATGGTTCCAACCCTTCATCGACATGGTTGATTATCCAATACAGCCCTCCTCAGACCATATCAAGGAATCATCTAGACCTCAATCTTGTAGTAACCTCTGTAAATGATACAGCAACATGGACTTTCTTCAAGTTCACCTACTTTCTCATTTGTCTTGAAGCATCTTTGTAATCTTTAAAGTTCACATTCATCATTTTTCAAGTAAATATTAAAAGGGTGGTTAGGCTTTGATGGCCTCAATGTTTTGTTTTACTTAGAACGGCTACATACAACTTCAAACTCCATAAATTAAGAATTTTGGACATCATATAAAATCAAATACTATAAACAACATAGTATAAGACATAAAAATGGTCCTACTCTTACTTTAGTTTATACAACCTAAATTAATTTAACCCAAATTTTTTATGCCCTCACAAATTCCAAGGCACCTTATTGATTGCAATACAAAGTCTTCATTTCAATGCAATATAAAAACCACAACCAAACAATGTACCATTCAAAATCCAACCAAGCACCATTATATCTCACAAATCTAAAGGTACCCTTCACCTTGTTTTAAATTCTGATTAGTTATGACAAAAGTTACTAATCAATTTTCAAAATCTGACAATTTCTGACATTATTGTCACATATCAAAATTAAAGAAAATAAATTTACAGAGGAATTTAATTGAAGGAGATAATCATGATTATGATACTTTCCCATTTCATAAACAGATCTAAATTAGTTTAGTTAGTAATTACATCATGGGTTAACATATAACCCCAAATATTACTACTTAAAAGGATCCCTAATAATTATTAATAATATTCTTCATTCCCTTCTAAAATCCTAAATCTTTATATTTCATTTTTTTTTCTCTCTACAAACCACATAAAATTTAATTTAAATTAATTTATTTTAATTATTTTTTAAGCTAAGAGCCAGAAATTCTTCTGCCACCTGGTGCTAATGAGGTAACCACCCATGCCTTTGCTCTGCTTTCTGACTCCAATTGTCAAGCATTCAGCATTGTTAATGCATTGCTCCACAAAATCCTCTGAATTGCTCATTCCAAATAAACTGCCCAAAAAATCAATAATTAAAAGTATGCTTAATACAATAATTAAAATTGATTCTAAAATATCTGATTAAATTTTTTTATAAGGTAGATCTAATAAATTTTAAAACAAAAATTAATTAAATTCCTTAGAGAATTGGACTCACCAAGTCATTATTGGGGAGGGCTTCTTCTGGCCTAGCACTAGCACTGATGCTTCTAGCTTCTTCACTTGGCTCAATACTGTTGATAGCTTAGGACCTTGTATCACTAGTGCTTCTACTTCCACCTGAAAATAGAATACCAAACTCCAATAATTACAAGCAAATCTAATATATTTAGCATGTAATTATGAACTACTAGCCATTAATCCAAAATTACTAGACTTTTTAGCCATTAATTCAAAATTTATTAGACTCCGACTAATCCGAATTTGAACTAGGAGCTACCAAAGCTTATTGGACGTTGACTAATCTGAATTTAAGTTCAGGGCATACCCCACCTAGGAAGAATTCTTCCCAAAGATTTACTCATTTACACATTTGAATTTATCATACATTGATGCTTAATTATTAAGAAGTTCTAAGAAAAAACAACAACAAAATAACATCCCATTATTAAATGAAAATTTCTTGCTTAAGTCACTTTCCACTATTTCATAATCAAAGATAACTACAAGTTTACAAAGTGATAAAACAAAAAGTAGTATATTCCTAGATTTCTTTACATGCATAATAAAGATCCCATCTTTACCTCATTTTTTACAAAAACCTTAACTTAACTTTCTTCATAAACCTTTATGAATCACCATTTTCACCCATTTAAATGCAACAATATAATTTTTTTAAACTTTAAACACAAAAGATCCCAACTTTACTCTGTTTTAATTTTTCTCTGTAAATCAATCTTTTAAAAAAACAGAGTGAAGAAGAAGAAGATACCTCAGGTTTGCAAGCTTTGCAAAGAGAACCAAGAGAGCTAGCAAGAGTAGAAGCAGTAGAATGAGAATCAGAGTCAGAAATAATATGAAGCAGAGTAAGCCAATCACCCTTATTAGTAATATGAGTTAATGCCCACATCATAGCATGTTTAGATCTAGAAGTTTCTTCAACAACCACCATCACCCTTTTCTGTGCCATCATTCCTTCATTGTTACCACCTCCATACTCATTTGCATACATACTGTTAATCCCATTCATCTGTTTCCAACAAGACCCCATATCATTTTCACCTCCATAAGAGTATCTTCCATGGCTGTTGCGACCTCCATAGCTTGCCCATCTCTTTGATGTGGACTTCCATCCTTCTTTTGCGCTTAATTGCCTCAAGATTGAACCTGGGGTCGGCATTTTGAGAAATGCAGGTAAGGTGTTTGATGAAATGCGTGAGTGAAGAAAAAATGGGGGAAATGGGAAGAAGAAGGTTTTTGTGAATGTAGAAGAGAAATGGGTTAATGGGTTTTGCTGGGATTGTTAGAAATGGGGGTTTAGGAGAGAGAAAGAAGGGTAAATGGGGGTTGCAGGTGGTATTATAATGAGACAAGCACTGAATGAAGTGAGGGAAAGTGAAGAAGACAAAATAGTGGACGGATGGATGAGTGTGAATTGTGATGGGATGTGATGGACGTATGGATGTGATTAACAGGAGGAGAGAGAGTGTGTGTGAGTTTGACGGAATCAATTAGGATGGCAATGAATTAATTACAAATATAAGTATATCCCAAGATTACTTAATTAATCATGTCATAAAGGAAAGAGTAGGTATAAATTTGTAAAAGTATTTGGATGTCGACTAGCTTAATATGGTTAAAGTTTTATGGTCGATTTATTTACGGGACGCTATCTATATACAGAGCAGTATGTAAATCAATATGAAAGAAAAAAAGCGGGTGGTGAAAAGTATACAGAGTAGCACTATAACTTCTTAACAATTTAAACATCTGTTGCGTGAATGAGATTTACATTTAAATCTCCACAAAACTACATGAATGAAATGAGGTATCAATAATTCAATATATCCACTTCTCTTCTAATCTTGAGATTGAGTTAAAAGGCATTGGACAAGTACTTGTATTTTCTTAACTCAAATCTGATTCATGATCATCTCTAATATTTGTAGTTATTATAAAAGGTATACAACGTACATTTTAGTCATCTTAACCTATACTTTGAATTACTCTCTCTTTTCGTTGAGTAAAATGTATTGAAAATCTCAATCCTAACCAACCATTTTTAAGTTAGCTAGATCCGAGCAACTTATCAAATCAACTTAACTTCTATTGAAGAGCAAAAATCTGATCAATTAATGAATCGAGCTACATTTTAATCTTAAAATTTATAGTCAAGCTTACTAAAGTGGCTCAAACTTTCAACCGAGCTTTTAATCATTTATAGATAACCAGGGTTTATTTCTTAAACAAAATAACCCATTCTTTAAACGGCATAAACACTTTTTTTTTTCTCCCGCCTAGTCAATAACGATCAAATCTACGCTCTAAGCTAACCCACACCAAATCATCTTAATTAACAAAGGATCTTTGATTATGTGAAGAATTATTGAATTAATATTAAAAAGAAAAATTAGATTAAAGATATGAATTAATAATGAATATGATGAGGTTGGGGAAGTAAAGGTCGTGGGATGAATGATAATGGTACACTTTATGGGTAGTTAAAGGCTCACGAGAATCACTTTGTAGCACCAGATCTAGCAAAAGCATCACT